TTTTTTTTTTTAACAGGAAAGATTGATAAGAAAAGGAGGAAGTCAACAGTTTTGAGAACAAGGTGTAGCTAAATATTGTATCTAAACACATGCCCTCGAATGTGCATTATCATACATTCAGCTGCGCCGGGGAACATTTTGGAATATGAACTGAATAATGTGGATATTATAAAATGGCTGTCTTGAAATTAAATTTTAAGATATTGATGTGTCATAATAATAAAATAGAAAACACTTTTAATATCAACAGTGAGCTCCATCATCCTTTCTTTTCATTATTTTGTGCTTGGTGCTTTTCCTACGCAGAAACCTTGAAAACAAAAAACTGCAACAAACTGTAAACCATGAAAAATCTGCACACAGCAAAGCCTCCTGACGGAGTAAGCCCTAAGCCCAGCATTATCTTTGTAGCCAAAGTTGGGCATGTATTAAATAATGAGCTTAATCAGCTCCTAAAAATCCGTCTGTGCTATGAAACAGAATTCAAACAAAAGACCTTGCGAAATTTATGTTGGAAAAAAAAATAGATGGTATTTTATTTTAGCAGGTTTTGGGGGGTAAACAGTTAGCTTTTAAAGATACCTCCAAAAATGGGTGTTCTCTGTATTTATTATTTTCCTGTGTTTTATCTTTCTTTTTCTTCTTTTTTTCTTGTCTCTCCATTGCTGCAGATGTTTCTCTGCGTTTGCTCATGCATTGGACTGCAGGATGGGAAAATCCTGCAGCACCATAAATTTTCCGCCCGATCCTGCAATAACAGATTTTTGGATAAAGCAGGCTATGCCTACGTTCCCTTAACAAGCTCCCCAGTGATGCCGCCTCCGGAGGACTCAGCTTCCAGGAGCGCTATCAAATGCCGGCTCCAGCGGCACCACAGGCTCGGGGTATTTTGTCACCCATATCCCACAGGCAGCCTGGCCCCCAGGGCCATGTCAGGGGGTCCCTGCCAGCGGTTTGTGGCTGGCCCCCCTTTTCAGTCCTCTCCTCCAACATCCTTTACCCAGTAATTCCCAGTGCTGGAAGGAAATTCCGGGCTGAAGTCAACACAGCTTCCCTGGCCGTAAGGCTAGGAGTCTCTCCCAAGGAAGCCGATGGGAGTTTTCCCACCATTTGGTTTTCCTCTGAGAAAGGCTTGCCTAGCCAGGGATGACGTCCCGACTAAGGCTGAGCATGAACGGCAAACAGGGTCCCTAGAATAATTCCCTACAAGGTTATCTCTAAAATGTACTCTTGAGGATTTCTTTATGACAAAATTCTGCTTTCTATATAAAGTTTGAGACACGAATATCTACAGACACCACCACCCCCAGCCCAGACAAGACCCCACTCCCCACTCCAAGGTCTCATTCAAGAAATTATTCAACATGTGCTTAAGGCCAAGCCCCTGCTCGACTCCTTCCACCCTCAGCAAGCCCCCCCGGAAGGGCTTCTATTAAAGTGGGTGCTAAATGTCCTGCTGGGTTGAAGCCCAAAAATGTTTAAGAGGATCAGGGATTAAAACACAGCAAATTGTCTCTGGAGCTTCCAAAGCCAAGTGCACCTGAGCAAAGTCAAACGGAAACGTTCACTCTATTTTCATTTTAAACAAATGGCAGAGGCTTCAGTGTTAGCTGTGATACGCTGTCTCCTCTCGGGGAGCTAACGGGCAGGGAAGAGCAAGGCTTTAAATGATTTATTCAGTACCCTGGAGATTTTTTTTTTATTTTCTTTTTCGTTTCCACATAAATTACACAAGCACTTTATAAAATGAATACACGTAAACCACCTTATAAGTGCATAACTTAAAAAAAAAGAACAAAACCAAACGAATGAATGCCTTTAAAAATCTCACTGAAAATAGGTTTTCTGATTGCTTGTTTGTACCAGCTGCTTAAATTTGCAGTGCTGTTTTAGATTATAAGTAACTGAAAAATATATACTGTGTATATATATATATTCCTGGCATGTGCTATAAGAAGTGCTTTGTTTAATCTTGTCTCATTCCCTCAGTACAATTAAAGAAACAACTAAGTTAAAGGGTTGAGAGTGAAATCGATTTTTTTGCCATCAGGAACTGCCTTCTAAAGGGAAACAGGTAAAATAAAACATTGGACAATATTTTGCAAATGATATGGAAATAATCCATGGAAAGAAACTGCATTACCCCCGCAAACTGCCACCAAGGTCTTCTCGTTATTAAAATACACGCTGATGGGCACGGAGTCCGTGGTGGCCGGGGACAGTTTGGGCTCTTCATACAATTGAGATATCATATTTACCGTCCTCAGGAGTCTGTCAGATCCTTCTCTTATTCCCCCCCTTGCAAGAAAAAATTAATGAAAAGGGGAGGAGAGACAGCGAGGTGAGATCCGAAGGGTTCCCATCTGGCACAAGCAGAAATTGCTGCTGTTTCCTCCATTTGTTGCATCCTTGAACGTCTCCGGTGCAGACGACCAGAGGAGGCTCATGGCAGAGACGCGCTTTCCAGGGAGCGTCCTCCTTTTGTTCCAAGCCGTCAGTCTGAGATGTATATATATATATACACACTTTATATATATATACGGATATATATGGGTGACCCCAGGCTTTGCACCACCACCAGCGGAATCTGAAGGAAGTTTTCTCTCCCCCAGCTGGGTGAACGCCGGCAGCTGTGTCTGTCAGGGCTGGGCTTTTTGTCTGGCAGCACGTCAGCAAGTCCACAGTCGGCACCGGAGACTTTCCAGAGAACAAAAGGGCTGGGGGCAGGCGAGACACCACTGCTACTCCAGCAACCCCATGGGTGAGGAGAGTTTTTGGAGTTGTTTCCCTCCCTTTGGGTCCTCGTGGAGGGTTTCCCTGGCTGGACGTGTGGGACGCACGTGTGGCCAGAGGACTGCAAGGTGCCAGCCTTCCCCAAGGACAAACAGGGATGCCACACGTCCCACCGGGGATGCCACGTGTCCCGACGGGGACAGCCCTGCCAGCAGAAGGTGCACGTGCCACCGGCAGATGCCAGCCCTATTCACAAGCGGAGGCGACAGTGGTGACGCTGGTGATCTTGGTGGAGTCGTCAGACCAAGGCTGGAGGTTCTGGAGGGCGAAGAGAGAGGAGTTGTGGACGCAGATGGGGTCGGCTTGGATGGGCTGGTTGATGGTTTTTTGGAAAGCCTCCTGCTGCAGCTGCATGAGGATGCGGTTTGCTTGCTGCCGCTCGGCCTCCCGCTCCTCCGCCGTCTGCCTCCTAGGAGAGAGGGAGCAGTTAGGGGGGTCTGGGGGAGCAAAGGAGGGGTATCTCTGGAGAGAAAAGGTGGCACTGGGTGCTTAGGGCTGGAGGGAGGTAGGAAAAGAGGGTGCCTAGCCATGGCGGGGTCCCACATCCCCTGCACAAACTGCCCGTAATGCCATAAACAGAAGACTGGGGCTGTCTATCTCACTGGCCCCAGCAAAAGTTGCTCAGATCAAAGACAGCCGGGAGCAGCCCACAGCTCCTGTTTATTTTCTGCCCATAGGAAAAATCCAAGCAGAGCCAAAACACCTGAAGGGGCACATGACTGGGTTGCAAAAGGTGCGATTCCCTGCAAACGTGCTCTGTGCCCAGCAGCGAGAGCCAAGCACACAACATCCCAGTGAGGAGCGCGGGGCAGGAGCGAGGTGACACATCAGTGAGTGGCAGTGCCACAGGTCTGGGAGGCGGGAAATGTCACCCTGGGCATCGTCTCCCCTGCCCCAGGGCCTGCCGTCTCCTCTGCGGGGCTGCGGTGGCCAGTTGACAAGAGTCTGAACGGAGGTGACAACACGCCCATAGCAGGCAGGACAAAAATCAGCAAAATGTTGGCTAAACTCTAGAAACACATTTTTAGCAGTGAGAAGAATCAAAGTCCAGAATAAACTGTCTGGGCAGGGTGAAGAAGGATATTTTTAAGAACAGGTTGGACACACGTCTGTCTGGAATGACACCAGCAGAGCTGATCCTGCTGAGGGGGGATTAGGGGCCTGCAAGGGTCCTTTCCAGCACTGGTAGGGTCCCAGCTCCGGGCTGTCTGGGAGGAGGGGATGGGATAGGTAGGAATGGCCTAAACACACTTAAAAGCACAATGAAAATTTCCCCCCACCCCTTCCCGAGATGGTGGGTCAGTCTGGAGGCTGCAGCCTCTGCTTTTACTGGAGAATATCACCTGGCACCTCCAGTGATGCTGCTGGGAAAACCTGGGGGCAGCTCCCAGTGCCAGTCTCAGGATGATCCCCAAAGCACACACCCCCCTCCCTCGTTAACACCTCCAGGCCCAGTCAACACTGTCCCAGCAGCTTCAGTGGATCAGAGACAGGGGAAATGGCAGCTTTTTAATTTAGCAACTCATGGGGACGTGAGATGTCTCATCTTCTTTGGCTGTGGGGATTGGAAGTGGCAGCTCCGAGCTCCACGGTGGTATCTTGGAGCACAGGGTGGGGGGTCCCTGACTCCCCACCAGAGAAGAGGGTGAGGGCTGGATGTGGGCGATGGGCCCCTGGGGCACCCGAGCCTCCAGGCAGGCAGCCTAGGAGCTGGTAGCTGGGGGCTCGGTCCCTGCTCTAATCACTGTCAACATCTCACGTCAGACATCCTGGGGAGAGGGGGCTCTGAGCAGCACCAGCCCTCCCCACCCAGCCCAGCGGCAGCTCCGTCTCTGCTTCGATGAATATTTAATGACTCCCTGCACAATGAAGAGATGCTCTGGGAGGAGGTAGGGAGCCCCACGAGCAGGGCGGTCAGGAGCCTGGTAGCTGTGAGCACCCAGCTCCCAAATATCTCCCTGGTCCAAGCAGCTGGCCCAGTCAGGCATTCATGTCAGGCTGGGATTTGCAGGTTCAAATCTGCCTGGGAGGAATTAAACCTTGATGCCTGCGTCTCAAGCAAGAGCCCAAATCTGGGGAGGGGATCACACCTCACTCCAGCAGAGACACCCCCCGGGCAAGGGGCAGAAGCCAGACTCTCCCCCCAACTTCCCCTTATTTAAGCAGTTAAATCCCTCAAAGGGCTTAAAGTAACTCTCTCTTCTCTGCTGTTCCCCACTGCCTAGCTCATGCGGCGCCTGCGGGAGGCTCCTTCCAGCACCCAGCGCTCCAGGCACTGTTTGCAGCCCACCACCGCCGCGCAGGGACCTGGGGAAGCCAGCCGGGCATGCTATCGGCCAGGGGCACCCCCCATCTCCACTGCAACGCCCAAGGTGCGCAGATGCAAACAAGCAGAGCTTACAAGCCTGAGTCCCACTGGCTCAGGCTGGTGGGGATTCTCTTATGTCTAATACTATGGCTGAGGTCAGGCTGCAGCCTTTCCCTTAGGCGACCAGGATTTTGTTTCTCTTTACCCAGCTATTTTTTTGTGAAACATATGAATAGGTTTTGTATCCTCTGCTCCTTTGCCAGGGGGGGCTGAACTTAGCCAACAGACGCAAAGAGTATTGACAGACAGATGGAGAGCCAGCCAAGCCGCATTTGCCTCACTTCCTTAGGAAACCAGGTTAGAAGACATAGCTGACCCCGTTTTGCAGGCCGCGGCAGGACGGTTCCTCCTCCAGGACTCTGCTCCTGGCTAACAGAGATGGCTCCGGCTGGAGACTTCCTGGCACTTGGGAAGCTGCTCTTCCGCAGGCCCTTTAGGGAAGGACTCGTGGAGAGGGGGATTCACCCGCACCCTTGGTTTCAAGTTCCTTGTCCCCCATTTCTTATCCAACCCAGGCAATCGTCCCATTCACCCTCGGGGAGACCCTGGAGAAAGCCCTTTTCCCCTGCCTTGAAGCCACCGCCTGCCTGTGCCCAAGTGCCTGGTGCTCAGCACCCAGCGACACCCCCTCCCCTGACCTGCCAGGGGAGCTGCCCCTCGCCCAAGTCCCCCCTGCAGGGTGCTTGTCCCCAGCCCAGGCAGGGGATGCTCCCAGGACTGGGGTGCCTCCCCCGGGGACCCCCCGGGAAGCTGCAGCTTGGGACGGGCAGGGTC